AGAAATGGGTTAAGAAAACTATCATGACCTAGATATAACACTCTACCGTATTTGCCTTCTTAAGTTTGATGCACCATTTATAAATATTTGACAACATCAACTCATAAAAATGTTCATATAAGTTTTAAAATTTGTAATTTGAATTGAATTGTATTGATTTCCGTAGAACACATTGTTAAAGAAAAACTGGTTCCGTCACGATATTCCTTCTTATAGTCGCTAAGTCCATACGAACACGTTGAAATGTTTTGTAATTTGAAAAATTTATAAAATGTAAGATCATGGAAATATACACAATTTACCGATAGAATTGATAAATTAATCAATAGGGATACTCGACAAAGGTACTTTTTTGTTTTTGTTTTCCTTTTTGTTTTTCTTTTTGTTTTCTGTTTTTGTAATAATCTATGCGTTGTACGTTCAATTTGTTTTAACGATTTCCATAAAGGAGATAATTTCGTCGACGTTGCTTTTTAAATTTCTTTTTTATAGTGATTTCTGATGATGAACTATGTAAATAGTTCGAAACGTTAAATGACTTAACAATAAAATAAATACAAAATCAAGAGGAATTTCATGTATTTGGATTTTAATCATTAAAAAATGTTCAATAAATACAATTCATCCAGAATGTTAGAAGCAGGATTTGCCTGATTTAAAACACGATTTTCATCAATGATTTAAATCAAAAAGAAAATAAAAATATCTTTATACACGATGGTCCCTTACTAATGGGACACAGAGCAACAGTGAATTTCTTACGTTAAATTATTATGATTTAACCCAATTTATGTTAGTCCAATTCTTAATAATAACGAAGATACAGATTGTTAAAGTTAAAACTTTGTTTTCGTTTTTCTTTAATAATTTCCATTGCCAATTACCGTTAATACACTAGTATTAATGCCAATTATCAGTGTTAGTCTAGTATTTGACCAAATAAAATCATTTTCAACGTCAACTAATATTTACATAGTTAAATTTTGCAAAGTGCTCTTAAACGGCGATTATCTTGGAAACAGAGAACTTTAGAGAAGATTGATAGGTATACCAAATTTATGTAAAAATGTCTGAGAAACTGTTCCAAGTTGAGTGAGCTGTAAAAATTTTAACGATGAAAAAGATATGTCTACTTTAAGGGATTTTTTGTCACTTACATTTGTGAAGACATGATAACATTGAAATCCTCCGAGGTAGTATCATAACTAAATTTAGATCCATAAGAAGAAGAAATTTAGAGAGAGCTGTAGGAAATATTAGTCGACGTACACGTTTATGCATCCAAGAAAATGGCCATCAGTTTGAACATTTTTATTTAACATTTAAAATTAATTTTCATTTTATTTTATTATCATAAATACTTTTTCTGTAGTTTGGGAAGTGTTTTACATTCAATCAAACGTTGTTATTTTAAAAACACGGCTATATNACGTTGCTTTTTAAATTTCTTTTTTATAGTGATTTCTGATGATGAACTATGTAAATAGTTCGAAACGTTAAATGACTTAACAAAAAAATAAATACAAAATCAAGAGGAATTTCATGTATTTGGATTTTAATCATTAAAGAATAACCAATCCTCTTTAATCAATTAATATATTATAATTACACAATTAATCTTTGCATTGGAGTTGCAACACCTTCTTCCGTTCGATAGTTGTTGATCAATTCTCTAACCTCTTCCCTTAACTTCGTGCCTTTTATCTTAGGTAAATTGTCAATCGTGTCGTCATCAAGAGCAATTTTCATAATCTCAAATTTTACCTGTATCTTTGTGAAATAGATTCCAGAATGGTTAATCAATACTTCTGCCTGTGAGAGTAAATCATCACCCGAAAGTAACTTGTAGCTCATAACTCATAACGTTTTCAGGTACAATGTGTATTGTAGTGTGATACACATCGCCATCTATAATAATATTACACACAAACCGACCCAAAGTCTTAATGTTGTTCTTTCTAATTCCAGTAAGAGTTATAAACTTTTCTTCAAATCGTGGTATGTTCAATTGTAAGTATTCGTTGATGCAAGTAAGGTTGACTGCGCTTCCAGTATCAATCAAGGCAGTTATTGGCCTTTCTTCTAATATCACTTCTTTATAATTCTTCCCTGTTTCATTTTCCGTATAATTTGCTTTCTCTCGTTTTATGCCCATAATTGTTGCATTTAAAGCAGTTCGTTCCTCTTTCTTTCTTTGGATAGTTATTGGATTTGTGTCCAACTTGACCATAATTGTAACATCGAATTATTGGTTTTGTTCTTGATATGCTATCGGTTCTGGTTCCCCATGCATTACCAGTTGTTGATGTTTGTTGTGCTTCCCCGCTAAACTTGTTTGAATTATTCTCGAATCGTTTCACGGCATCAGTGTTTTTCTTCATCTTCTTGTTCATTTTTTCATAAACATGTAACTTTTCTTTGAATTCTTTAATAGTTCTTGCGCCATAGAGAACAGTTTTATTGTTTACATCGTCGGGAATTCCATCTATAACATATTCCATTAGCGCATCATCGTCTACTTTTCCTTTACTAGCCATTGCCTTCATTTTTAGAAATTACTTTTGTATGGTTTCATCTTTTTTCATTTTTTTATTTAATTACATTTCATGTAAAGTAGCACTACTAATCTTTTTGGAATACTCACCCTTCAAAGCTTTTTTCAACTTGTGCCATGAAGTTATTTCCCTTTTACTTTTGACAAACAATTTTGCTAAACCGGTTAATAACTTTTTGGCATATAAAAACATTTGTAAATCATTCCATTCCATCATTATAGCCATTTCTTCAAAATCTACTATCCAATAAGTTACCTGCATTTCATCTTCGCCAGAAAATGTATTTAAAGAATCTTCTACATCATGGAACGATAAGGCAAATGTCGGTTTCGTTAAATGGATGCTGGCCATGAAATGTTTCTTATCGACATCTTTTTCATCATCAGTATTATCTTCTGTGTCTTCTTCGTCGCTTTCACTGCTTGATTCTTCACTTTCTTCGTATAACTTCTTCGACTTCATTCTTGTCTTCATTGGTTTCATTGTTTCTTGGTCGTCATCGTCGTCTTGAACGCAATCTACCCTTTTCCCGTCTTCAGCACCGCACTGGTATTCTTCTTCATTTCTTACACGTTGTGAAATGGAATGGGTATTTTCTTTCTTCAGATTCTTTATTTTCATCGTTTTATTTTTCTTCGTTTTTCTTACGTCATCTTTGGAGGAGGAAATTGTAGTATTATTAAATTCTACAGAATCCTTGCCATCGTCTTTATTCATCATATTTTCGTTTTTTTAAGTTTTAAAAAAAAATCTCGTAGAAACGGCCGTTATCGATTGGTAAAGATTGGTCTGGAAAACACATAGTGTTACGGCACGATGGAAAATTACGATGGCGCGACGCACTTAACGTGTTTTAATAAGAATGGTGGTTATTTTAGTTCGATTTGTTGTTTACTCCACAACAATTTGCTGACTTAACAGTCTTATTAACAGTTTTATCACTAAACACTTGATGTTAATTGCGGTTGAGCCCCCAAATTTGTAGGATTAGATTGTCAAATTAAAAAAAGCACATTTTTAAAAGTAATAAACTAAAGTATTTATTTTAATGTAAAGAGACAAACTATTAAACATTTGGTCTTTAAACTTATTTAATACTCTTTTATTTACAAACGTGTTAATCATTTATTTTATAAGAAAATAGATCAACTCTGTACGTCTTTACTCACAGAACAGTAGTATAGATACTGCCACAGTCTCTCTCTACTGTTTGATTCCTTCTCAACGTTACTTATTATTCAGTCAATTTTTAAAAAACATATTTTTTATTCATGAACGGAATTACAGGTCGTGTTGCACAAGATTACAAATTCAGACTTAATTCTAATATGATCTTACTCTCCTTTTATACTTTTATTTGGAATCTGCTTACTCAGATCTTAAAAATGGTCTGTACCTGCAAGTCGCAGGGCATAACAACGTACCTTAACAATTTTATTCTTCATGTTGGAGATGAAAAGTTATTAAGATTTAGGGGACGTTATGATGTTCATTAATTATTAACAACACCCCGTTATAATTTTTTGTTCTTAATTAAGCGGCTTCCACATCCACGTTATTAGAGAGCACATATTCCAGATTCTTACATTGTTCGCCTTTCGGAACCGGTGTTCATGAGAGTTGTAAGTAAGGAGCCGAAAATGTAAAGGGGGTGGTTACGTTTAGTAGTTTAGAAGGGTAGGTTGAAAGTACAAATAGGTTCAAAACGTGTCCTATTATGAGTTTAACATATTCCCCAAATTTCATTTACGTAGCGTTTATGGTTTTTGAGAAAAAAAAATTAAACCGAAATTTTCCGCCATTTTTGGAGGGGTGTAGCTCCTTAGGAGGGCCGAAGTCGCCCATGGTTCATATATCAAAGTACCCTTAAAATTCACTAAAGAATCACCCCTTGAAGTTTGTTGCAGTCATTCAGATACACCCTGTATATTTTTATTGTCAGATTGTTTGCTAAAGAGATATACAACTCAATGTAAGGTTTCTTTAGTATTTTTGAATATGAAATACTTTGAAAAATAAGTCGTTTGTCATCATCATCTACAATTTTAGTAAACGACCAATTTGTTTCGGGTAATTTAAGATCACTGGCTTTGGACCATACTTTTAAAAATTGATCACGTTTTGAAACTGTGTCTATAAATTGTCGTTTTTTAGGTAGTTTTCTCTTCTTGATCTCTTTAGTCATATATGAGGGACAATTAGGAAAAATACTAGGAACAGCTCTATCTGAAAGTTTTCGTTTTTTAAGGAACTTTATTCGAATCAAAAATGAAGTAACATAATTGTAATGTCGTCTTTTGTAAAATGAAGTAAAAGCAGTTTTTGCAAAAGTAAATAGAAAAAATATTATAATGAACTCGTTATATTTAATGAATTACTAATTTGTTTACAATATTCGTTAAAATTGATAACCTGGCTGTGAAAAGATTAATTTATTTTCAATCAAACAATTTTTACCTTCGTAATTCCATCCTTTGCCACCCAATATTTAACAATATCAGTTTGTTGAAAATGCTTTTCGCAAACATGATCGTTTATACCAAATTTTTTGTCAGCACGTGGTATAGCTTTAGCCCATTGAGGCAGCAAGTGTGTATTTTTACACTTAAAGAAGCTAAATTTTTCAACGCATGAACTATACCCAGAAGTACAATTTTGTACAAAACATTTATTAACCATTTTTATTTATAAAATATTTAATTATGCGGTAGAACAGTCGAAAAAAAGCAACTTGTCGTAGCGTGTCCGCTTGCCGACGGACTGCATTTCACTATCACACGTCACAGTTCGTGAACCACGCGAGGTTAACTGTGTGGCGTCTAAAACAAATAACCCCTCCCTTCGCCGGTGAGCTGCACGAGGACTCGCGTAGGTACTTTTAGGTGTAAACATTGTCCTTTATTTGTTTAAATTTTGTTTTGCGAAATTTTTGAGAATTAGGTGTCACAGTGGATGGTAGGTTAACGGTCGATATACGCTCGAGCTAAGACGGATTTAAAATTGCTAGTTCAATTACT